TGCGGTATTTATTCATTGACAATAAATATCCCAATGTAAAAGAACAAACACGAAAAACAGATAGTAAAATAAAATATTCTACTGGTCAGGTCCTAAGATTGTTGCTGCCAATGATTTTCAAGAAATGTGACTCAAACAATATAAATAATTCCCTCATAAGGTAAGAGAAAGCACCTCGCGCACAAGTTTCTCATCGGGTTTGTATGGGCACCTGTCATCTAATGGAGAAAAGTGATGAAAAAGCCGTATCGCATCATCATGACCAAGTGGTTCCAAGTGGCATGAAGTGGCAAATCTAGGGAATACAAATCTTGAAGTGACCAAAACTTTAGAAATGTCGAATTTAAATTTCTCAACAATAGCTTCTGAGCCCTGCCAAACATCATCCAGGACCAACAATATCGGCCTTCCCCCGAATTGCCTTAGCAAAACACCAAGTCGATTAATTGCGTCTTCATCGCTCGAAAACTCAGGCGCTGGGAGCCCACAGTGTCCAAATATTGTCTGCACAATATTCTTCAAGTTGGGCGTTTTTGAAAAGATCACAAAGAAGATGTTTTCCCCGAACTTGTCTGTTCAAATCAAAAGGAGATGTAAGTAATAAGCATGTGATGTTTTTTTACATTGCAGAATGCTCATATATAAGTTAGTCATTTCACTAATTTGCATTTACACGAGAGTAAATGATAATAAAAGGTTTGATTTCTACTCATCAAAGGCTGAGGCGCCCATAGTACTCCTTCACTGCATAAGGTCAAATAACCAGGGAAGCTACTAGTCATACGTTAACGAACTCTCAAACGACTATATAGAGGGAAATTCTTTAAATGTGTCAGCAAGCATTAGCTCTACTACAAGCTGCTCAGTAGAGTGGAAATATTGAAACTGAAAGGCAATGGATTCAGATGTTGTAAAATTTGGGTCATCTCGTGGTGAATTAGCCCATTAATGAAAGATAGAAGTCATAAACAAGAAGAGAAGTCGAAGTAGATGTTTCAGGGGCTGCTTACCTTTAACGTCGGGGTCCCAGCAAAGTTCTTTAGCCATGGTTGTCTTGCCCGATCCCGGCAAGCCAGTCAATACAAGAACAGGTTCATCACCGTTCAGCAGCTCATTCTTGGACCTCTTCAAGGCCCCTTCCAATCCCACTGTATACTTTGGTCTCTCAGGAGCCCCGCACAGGCCCTTAACGACAGTGCCGCTACTTGTTAGCCCAAAAAGAGGCTTATTGACAAGATTCGACATAATTTCTTTCAGGGTCGACAAAATCTCCTTCACGTCTCTCGCCATGTAAACTTGCATATCAACAGTGATGGCCCTCTCAAGCTTTTTGTTCCTTTCCTCAAGCCTATCATGATAAAAAGGAAGAGACAGAGATCTCCACCAATGGAACTTGGAGTACTTATGAACAAGCTTATCTGCCTCTTCCAATTCCCTCAACACTCGTTCCATTTGATCCAGAGGGCGATCCCATGTCTCGTCATATGCCTTCATCTGCCGGATCAGTGGAGTCAACCGCTGAACGGTGTCTCGGAGGTCCTCACGTTTGGTTGGGAACTTGATAGCCTTGTCCACCAAATCTAACCCGCTTCTCAGCCCTTCCTCAAGTAGAGCTCCCAAAGCAGCTTCTCCTATCACCCCACCTGCCATCGCAAACAACAAATTTCTTAGAATTCTCTCTGATCACAATTTCGCTCTGTTGTTGGCTTTCCTCCTTCAACAGCTCTTTCTCTCTGAGCAAGGGTAGATGTTTCTGAGAGAAGAATGGGCTCCCAAACTCCAGCCAGAGTTCAATTTATTTATGTTCTTCCGAGTTTGGCGAAGCCGCCTGGAAGATGCAAGGAACTTTCGTCGTTTTATTTATTTATTTATTTATTTTTGGTAAACTTCGTCGTTTTATTATTCAACAGTACAAATGGCTCGCAAGGTATAGTTGCTGCGCGGATAGTTCCATGCCGAGAGAATTTGACTCCCTCAATTTCAAGCTTAGCAGGGGGAAGATAATTGATCTGCTACACCTCACTACCCTCTGGTGAATGGAATCAGATTCTCTCCACTACCCTTCCCATCCTCTTCCCCTCCACTACCATCTTTTTCTCTTCACAACCATTGGATCAAAACTCCAATAGTCCAAATTTAATATTTTATAACATTTTATAAAGATAAATATTATGATAAAAAATAGATAAATAAATTTAAACTGTTAAAATCTAATCTGAACAGTTCATAACTACATACTGTTATTATAGAGCAAATTTTTTTAATTTTTTTATTACAATTGTAAACTGTTCAGACCAGATTTTAACAGTTTAAATTTATTTATTTATTTTTTTAATAATATTATTTTTATAAGATGTTAAATCTGGACCATTGGAATTTTAATCCAATGGTTGTGAAGAGAAAAGAAGGGTAGTGGAGGGGAAGAGGATGGGAAGGAAGTGGAGAGAATCCAAGTCCCTGGTGAATGGTGTGGAATTCAAGTGAAAAGGCCGGAAATAAGAGAAGCTTAACGAAAGGACGCGTTTTATAACTTTCTTAACCACTCACTCTTTGACTTTTCTACACACACATGCAACCTGCATTTTACAATTTTGATTTATATTATTATTTGTAATCTTAAAGTATATTTAAGAGATACTTATTTAAAAAGAGGTAATTAATAAAACTATAAAAGAGATACTCATACCAAAAAAGAGATACTTATTTATTTTATTTAATGTAAAAATGTAAAACCAATTTATCTATTTATAATAATATTATAAATACAACACTATAGGTAATAGTTGGCAAAAAAATAGTATATATAATAAATATATTTACACAGTGAAATTACTATGATATAATAAAGGAATTTAATCACTCAAAAATCTGATAACAATTAGGGAGCATGTAATGATAAGTTTTAGTATAATAAATAATGATAACTTTATGCTATTCATTTATAAGTTGAATTTTTTTATAATTAAAGACCTGTTTGATTAAAAAAAAAACAGGGCTAGCCTGCCAGCATCACTTAAAAAAAAGAAAAGAATAACTGTTTCCTTATATGTAATATTAATTGTCATTTTTTTAGATATTTAATTGTATTAATATAATTTCTAAATTAATTGTCTTTTCTTTGCATATAAGGATATATATAAGTGATTATATATATGTATGTATACGTAAAAGAAGATAGAAGACAAAGAACCTTTTAAAATAACAATGATCTGATTTTATTTCTAGGTATGAAATTTAGAATTTTGCTGCTTTTGTTCTATATAAAGGTGAAATATTGGCTTTATTTTCGTTACTATTTCTTTGTTAGCTAGTTTAAAGCACTTATTGATTTCGTTACAAATATTCAAATATCATTCTGCAACAATCGCTCCTCGTCTCAAGGGGAGGGTTGTTTGGCACTTGGCTAAAAATGTTTGCTCAATGGAGATATATAATTGCTCAAAACATCAATGTTATATGGGCGTATTTTAGAATGTTAAGTATCACAGTCACAAACAAATGAAATTTTGTCACTTGCATTTTATGTTGTTCTGAAAGGTGATGGAAATTTGCCCAAATTTTCCTACTCCACACCGCTTTCTTTCACTCTTCACATCATTTGCCTTCACCCACCACTTTCTTGTACTCTTCATGTCATTTGCATTAACTAAATCACCACCACACCATACTCCCAGAGGCGAGAGCTACTTTTCCCTGCAGAAGAGGAGAGCTCGACAACTTTTCAAGTCAATGTTACACATAAATGTTTTTCTTTTTTGAAAAACGGACACGGGCTTTTGAAGTTATTAGATCATAGAGAATTTTATCATGACAGTCCATAAATTGATCTTCCTACATCGCATTTTACATCTTAATTCACCGTTTAAAATGAGATATTTTGTTTTTTGTTTTAATTATTTCACTTAAAGTGGATCCATGATTGCTTGAGGGGTGACCTTCTAAAGTAATTTACCGGGAGATATTTACTTATTGTGGAAAATCGATCAATGAAAGTTTCATTATTCCTGAACCATTAAAGCCCATAGTCTAGCTTTGCACACATAAAAGCTTGATATTTGTGGAAACAGCTAGCTCGACCTCGAAGAGGACAGCTTAAGTGAAGTTTTCACTTTTTAAGAAATAAATATTTGATGGAAAATCCTCATCTGGTTTGTTGTTTAGAACTTAGTGGAAGGAGTGCGTGGCAACTGTTAGCCTGTCTCCGCTTTTACCCAAACTCTCAAATGGCTTTTTCAGGCAGGCCACTCCCTGCTCTTAACTGTTTTTCTTAGAGAAATTAAATTCATAGAAGGTTATTGATTGTGTCTGTCTGTTAGGAGGATGTCTCTACATGGGAGAAGGGCGATTAACATTATATTAGATCTTCATCTCATGACTTCCCATAGTTTGGAATTTTATTGTTAAACCTATTGAGGATCTATTGCTTCACTTGTTAAGTAATCAAATCTTCGTCATATTCATATTCCATCTCCATAGAACGTTTCGTTTAGTTTGGTGTCTGAGGGAGAGGAGGGGACTCAAAGTCTCTTCCTCTTCAGTTATTCAAAATCGCGTATGGATATGAAAGTATGGATTTGTGCTGGTGTCAATATTCCCAAATGTTACCTGCTCGTGCTTGGCGTTGTTCGAAATTGTCCGTTTAATTTTGCAATTCAAGGTTGATTGTCGCAAATAGCTTCGGATCCTCTTCGAATTCTTTATATGCAAAAATGTTATTTGTCAGCGAGATAATCAAATAAATAAAAATATTAAATAAAATAACAATAGAGGAGTAATGATTTTTTTTTTTAATCAATACAATATAATGACTCTAAACAACGAAATATAGGAAGCAGGAGGTGTGATTAAGATTAATGCCCTTAATGATATCTGTAAGGCACGGAATTTTCAGGGGACGAATGTTTTTCTCTCAATTCCTTTTTATTGTACCAAAAAAAAAAATCCCTTTTATGACTCCATACCCATCCTGTACACGAGTGAAGAAACGAGAAAATCAAATTACACACACAAGCATGAACTCAGTAATATTTCAAATTCTAAACTACAATCACAAAAGCTGTCTTAGGATCCATAAAGTACATCAACATACACAGGACATGATTAATTTGAATTCCTGGTGCCTACATATATTTGACTTTCAAGTGTCTGACATGCATTGACCATGGCTTCTTGTTCTAATTATTCATGCGTTATTGTGAAAGCAGAACCTTTCCATTTCCTCCTCCCTTAAAAGAAAGTCTCTCTCCTCTCAAATTGGCAGAAAAGTAACAGAGGGGGAAAGCATTCGGTACATCTGCATCAGAATAAAAGCTGAAACACGGTGCTGCGGTTGGAATGCCAACCATTGAATTGATCCAAAGATGAAGATGTTAAATCTCTAGACCGTCTCGGATCTTCACATTCGGTCTTCATCCCCCTGCTCCTCCATACAGCACCCCATCCCCAGATCCAGCTTCTTGGCGACCTTGCTTATAAGCCAGTCCCAATAAGCCAATTTAAGTTGACATCTACATGCGGCACCTCAATCCTTAGATCGGTAAGCATTAGTTTGAAAACCTCCCAGGAAGCAGCCGTCTCCTCATCACATGTTACACTTTTTAAATGTCCAAGATTCTTTACCGAATCTGGCAGTTCACACCTTGAGCAACCTGTCATGTACAACTTCTCTATCTTTTGTAACTCACCAATGCTTTCAGGTAAATTTCTTAGGCTTATGCAGTTTGATATGTCAAGGAAACGTAACCTTGAAAGCCAACCAATTGATTCTGGTATACCTCCTAAATCAGTACAGGAATTAAGCCTCAGTAGTTCCAAATTCTCCAGCCTGCCTATTTCTTGGGGCAAATTAGAAAACTTGTGGCAGTTAGAAATACTAAGCTTTCTGAGGGTTTTAATATCACAGATATCCGGAGGCAATTCCACCATATCTTTGGAATAGTCAATGTTCAATTCTATTAGATTAGGCAATGCACGTGAAATTGGTATCTTACAGCTTCCAAAAGCTTGACTTGTATCACACATATAAAGGGATAATTTTTGCAGGTTCTCCAATTTGCCGAGGGGAGGAATGGAAACCTTCTCCAGTCTCATTCTTTTCAGGGCAGGTAAAGAATCAAGTAGCTCAAAGTTTTCCAATCCGGAAGCATGAAAACCAAAATTAGTGCATATTAGAACCTTTAGATTTCTCATTTTCTCAATGAACTTTTGGAAGGAATAATGCTTAGTACGAACGTTCAATATTAGAACCTCAGTTTCGGTTAACTGCGCATTGCCCCAATCTGAAGTGAATGCTTCATCTGCAGAAACAGTCCGATTGGCGTCAATTTAGAGTGCTGAGCAGCTTTCTAATTGAACTTTTTTTTTTTTTTTTTTTTGTAATTTGCAAACACATGTTTTTAAGAAAGTGATAAAACTAACCAGTTGATATAGACAATGTCCGTGCAATGGCAGGTTGCTGCTTTTGTCTAACGCACCATTTAAGGAATATCGACAACATGCGGGCAATAATGCCTCGCTGGTGCTCCTGTACACACCATTGTCGATTATTTTCGTTTATGTCAACCATCAATCTTCTTCTCCGTTCAACAGGTTCTTGGTTGCTTTGATGAATTGCAAGATCTCTTAGAAGGTCATGCTGCATGATGAAGTGGTTGTTGTAGTAACTGTCTGGATCACTTTCGACTTTCCTGGTAAACGAGCAGAGTTTAGCGTCCCAGCTAAGAGAAAATTCCAGACAAGAAAAAAGCATGTGCCCTCCGTCTGACATTACGTAAGTCTTCAACTTATGTTCTCTATTTGATGTTCAATAGAACAGTACTCACGTGATCATACAAAGCTGTATCAGCTATCTTCGATAATATATATAGCAACTAAGCATTAAGAGACCGTGGAAAAAAGAAAGAGAAGTCAATGTACCTTGTAACAAGGAGATTTGCCAAATTCAGGGAGACTAATTTATTGATTATGGCCATGGCTTCTTTGCCGTTATCATCTAGTTTATAAAGTTCCGCCCACATATCAATGAGAGCCGTAGCAGGAATTCTTTGGTCTTCGGGAAATAACCCTAAGTCCATGAAGCACTCCTTGATGATGGGCTCATCTTCCAAAACACACAAGCTTCTTTGGAGGAAATTAAGCAAATTTGAATTGGAATCAAGAATAGAATGGCCTTGCGACCATTCCTTTATCATCTTTTGCCACGTTTCACGAGGCTGCTGACACAGTGATCTAGCGATTACTTTAATGGCGATAGGTAGGCCCTTACAACTTCTCACAGCCTGCATCTCATTGCAAACAAATAGTTAGTGAAAATAATGACTTAAAAGTCATTATGAACTATGTATCGAGCGTAGAAAGAGAAAAAGGGATAATTTCCACGCATCAAACAGTAAGAAAAAGCACCTCTTGGACAAGAAATTCATCGGGAATGTACGAGCAATTGTCTTTTACGAGAGCAAAGTGACGGAAAAGTGTTAGTGCTTCTTCATAAGGAAGTGGTTCTAAGTGGATACGAGGGTTAGCTGTTGGAAATGTGACTCTTGAAGTGATCAAAATCTTATAATCGGGAATCTGGAGCTTGAAGTTCTGAACAAGTGATTCTGAGCCGGGCCAAACGTCATCCAGCACCAACAATATCGGACTTCCCGAAATTTTACTCAACAGAAGTGCCAATTCTTTAGCTGCTTCTTCGTCACTATGAAACTCAGGAACCTTGCCACAGCGTTGAAATAGAGCCTCCACAATGACCTTGAAGTTGGGTGTTTTTGAGAAGGTCACAAACAAGATATGGTCCCTGAACTTACCTAATAAAACCAAAGAGATCGATCTAATGAATCAAGGAACATTTGAAGCCTCGTAGCAGCTGAATATAGGTAAAATAACATGCTTCTTAATTTAATCCAGAAATTTCATATATCCCATATTCTTTTGATTTGTTGATTAAACTTTCCCATACTTGGATACAGACTGGTGCTTATTTAGCCAGGAAATGATCTTGCAAGGCACTTTTCTACACCTCTTCATTTTTTCTTTACTCCGTTGGTTTGCCGTGAGTTTATAACAAATAATTGATGGGCAAAAGGCATCACTAGCATGTCCGGTTCAGTGCAGGGAATGAAATTTAAACGATTCTTTGTTTGGGATTTTTGGGGTTTTTTTTGGGGGGGGGGGGGTAATTGAATATTATATTATATTTTTACTAAGTTAAAGCTGCTTCATGCTTTTAATTAAGAAAATTAATTAATTAATTATTTGTTAAAAATATGTATTGACCTAAGATATAATTTTAAATCATTTGCATTGAAATTAAACTCTCATAACATATGCAATTAATAAGGATAATTGGGATGAAAATTATAAATATAAGACTCTCATATTAGGATCTGAAGGTAGTATATTACAATTTAATTTATTAAATTTTGTGTTTGAAATGTTAAAAGTTTCACCTTAAAAATATTAAAACTCTCATTTTACAAATTTTATTTATTATAATTTTTTTATGAACATATTTTTTGACAAGAGAAATTTTGAGTAGCTAAAATTTTTGTAAGGGTAATTTACCCAATCAAACTTGATATGCCGCTCTTCCCTCCAAAAAAAAAAAAAAAATCTATAAGGTGAGGAGTCCTCTTTAAAAAAGGTAAAAACTTTGACCAAACACATTTTTGCAAAAGTTCCTCTCGGTAAAAATAGAAATGAGAAAAGTAAAATTCCTCCGGACTTCCGTTAACTAGTATTGGGCGTCAGTTGGGCCGAATACAGAAATGAGGACCAGTAACAAATATTGGACCTCATTTGAGCCTAAAATAGCAGGGCCTATTAAAAAAAAAACAGAGAGAGCAGTGTTACCTTTGACTTGGTCATCCCTGCAGAGCTTCCTGGCCAACGTGGTCTTGCCGGATCCTGGTAGACCCGTCAACCCAAGAATGGAGGCACCGTCCTTGAGGAGCTCCATCTTCAACCTCACCAAGGGCTCCTCCATGCCGATGACGAATTCGGGGTTCTGAGTAGGCAAGCACATAATTCCGTGCTCGGAGTTCTCTTTGCTCATCGTTTCGAGAATTTCTCTCACCTGCTTCAGAGTTTCCTTCACATCCCTTGCCATCTTGTTTTCACTTCTCGAATTAAAAGACAGGCACTTGACGATTGAACCGTGCCTTTGTCCGAGCTTGTCCTGGTAGGATTTTGAAAAGAGCAAATTCCAAAAAGAGATTCTCGGGGACTTGCCAGCGAGCTCATCTCCTGCTTCCTTTTCCTGGATCAGCTCTTCTATTTCTTGTCTTGGGGAATCCAAGTGATGTTCAATTTTTTGATCTCCTCCACCAACGACGTGGAATCCTTCAGAGTTGACCTCAATATTTGGCGTTGGATCTACTGTGGTGAGCCTTCTCGATCAAGTCCTTTACCTTCTTCAATAACTCTCGAAACACCGCTGCCACATCATCTCCTCCAATTAGGTTTGCCCTCTGCCATGGCTAACAACAAGAGCAAATCAGATCTTTGAAATATTTTCCCTTTTCAATTCTGTGAGGAATCAAACTTCAGCCGAACAGGATTTTTCCGTTGTTAGTGCCACACGCACGCACATATATACATGAAGACGGACTCCTTCGCGGAACCCGCAGTCAGGACGAAAAGAAGCTCGCTATTTCCTCGGCCTTGCGCTTGCCTCGCTGCTTCCCATGCGACAACCAGCTAAAGGCCAGAATTACTTTCCTACTTCCCTTATATATTTTAACCATATAGTGGACGCGCATTTACTTTCTTTATATCTTTTTCAAGTTATTTATTTATTTCCGGGAAATTCTGCCTGTAACACAGACTCTTTTTTTTTAAGGGCCTTGACTGACTTTTTAACGTTGATTTGACATACAGCGGGCTGGTAAAGTCCTGGAAATTTCCGTGTAGTTAGGCAGAAGAATCAAAATACGGGCCTTTAACCTTGCTCTGATTGGCAAAGAAGAATCTGCCTCTGTCCAGACGTTGGATCGGATTAAATAGAGAGATCGAGGAAAGAACCCCGGAAATATCGCGTTTTCTATTTCCATCTCCCCGTCGGAGACGATCAAAGGAAAATGGCAACATGTCAACGTCGCAAATGCTGCGCGCCTGCGTGCATATACATTTACGGTTTTCCAAAATACTAACAACAAAATGGCTGAGAGAGTCCAAGGACCTGGTTTCACAAGCCACAGATATCTCAATTCTCGAGTCTTGACTCCAAAAATAAACAAACAAATGAAAAACAGCGGCTACTGAGATTATAATATGAAAATGCTTCAGAGTGTTACGGAAAGTCTGAGTTCTGCTCTGACCACCAAAAAATATAACCGAGTAAATTACATAATTAAAAACATAAGATCAATGGAAAAATTCAGGATATCAAAGTCATGATTCACGACAGACGAATCCGGATAAAGCTTCTTCTTTTCATCTTGCTTCCCATCGAAGACCCTGGCGATAGTCCATGGAAAAATTCCGAGTGTTAATAAAAGTCATAAGAAATGCACGGGAATTTCGCTTATATTAGGGAACGGAACTTGTCCACCTTGTCGTGGACGACACGAAGAATAAAGGAGATGAGAACCGATGAAGATAGAAACCATTTACCGTCAAATTACACAAAAGAAATCAATCTCTCCAAACTTAATTGTAACAACTTTCAACGAAGAATAAAGGAGATTAGAACGGATGAAGATAGAAACCATTTACCTTCAAATTACAAAAGAAATCAATCTCTCCAAACTTAATTGTAACAACTTTCAACCACGCCATCTTTCTTCACAAACACTATCTCAATACAAATTTATCATCAAGCCCAAAATTTTATGACTTTCTCTTCATGTCCATTTTCAATTGCACAATAGCCATACAAGTAGGCAGCATCTATTTCTTTATGTCCCCTGATAGTTAAACCACAGAAGCATAAGTTACGTTGCACATATCTTCTCATTTTCATTCCATATCTTCATTCCCGCTCCAATATGTTGCCCCTGGCCAGAAAGCGCATTTATTGGCAATGAAATTTCAAAGCCATTCCAGGCTAAATCAGCTTGGTTCACCTCTACATGCAGATCAGTAAAGATGGTTTTGCAAGGTTCCCATAAAGCAGCCACATCTTCATCGCACACCACAACTCTTAGCCCCGTAAGGTTAATGATTGTGGGTGGCAGCTCACATAATCTCGAGCAACGCGTGATGTAGAGCTCTTTCAAATTAAGTAACTTACCCATATGATCTGGTAATCTACTGAGGCTTATGCAGTAAGACATATCAAGAAATTTTAGCTTTTGAAGGCTGGAAACTGAGTCCGGAAACTCTGTTAAATCAGAACAAGAACTAACCCTTAGCAATTCCAAATTGACCAACTTTCCAATTTCTTCAGGAAGTGCGGAAAGCTTGTGGCAACTGGTAATACTAAGCTTCTTTAAGAACACAAAACCACACAACCCAACTGGCAATTCCATCATATTACAGTAGTCAATGTTCAGTTCCACCAAGTTTGGCATCATATCTGAAACTGGGATGGAACAATTTTCGAAAGCTTCATTCACATTGCACATAAACAGAGACAGTTTCTGAAGATTCTTCAAGTGCACTCTTTTCTCAACGAGGGAGGGGATCAATACACGCTCCAGTCTAATTCTTTTAACATTGGGCAACAAATTAAGCAGTTCTAAATTCTCTAACTCAGCAGCAGGGTGGAAACCATAATTTGTGATTAACAGAACTTTTAGTTTATTCATTTTCTCTATGAACCTTGGTATGGTGTACTTCTTCCCTCGAAAGTTCAAAACTAGAACCTCAACTTCAGTTGGTATCAAGTTACACCAATCAGAAGAGAATAATTCATCTGCAAAAAAGATTCAATAAGTCAAGTGAGGGATAAGCATCAGCGATAGGTAATTTAGTGCAGTTCCCAGGACATGCTAGTGCATCAAGAGAGTCAGCGAAGGAGGAACAAACCAGTTGATATAGATAATACGCGGGCAGCTATATGATACTCTTTTTGGTCAGTCCACCACTGGGGAAGTTCGTTTGCAGTTATGTCAATAATCAGTGTTTTCCTCTTTTCCAGTGGCTCCTGGCTAATTTGCCTTTGATGGATAGCTAGCTCCTGAAAAAGATCATGCCGATTGACAAAGTGGCTACTGAAGTTACCTGTGCCACTTGGAAATTTCCTGCTCGACAATAAGGACTTATTGCTCAATCATAAATAAAAGTTTCAAAAAGCTATATAAAGTGACATTCACTGTGATGATTAGTCTCCCTCACTACTACTAGCTTTTGTTTAGGTGAATGGCCTCCCTCTAAATTTTACTCCTATATCGTAAGGTCTTCTAATGTTCTGGTTGCATCATCATCATCATCTATACATTTTTATGAAAAGAATCTTGCTGTTATTGACAAAACTTGATCCTGGATTGTGGCGGACCTGTGAATTGCCCTCTCTTCCCAAAGGATTTACAAAACAACTCTTTTCAGCTTAAAGTTAAGGGCGCACTCAATGGCATTACTAGCATGTTCTAGAGGATAACAGAATATTTAAGAGACTCCAGGCATTTCAGCCCAGATAAAAAGAGCCAGCAAGCGTACCTTACGACAATTTCAACCATGTTACGGGTGGCCAGTTCATAAATTTTCTCCATTGCATTTACGCCATCTTCTCCATACAATTCCACCCACATATCAACAAGAGAAGCTGCAGGAATCTTCTGGCCTTCAGGAAATAAAGCTAGGTCCATGAAACGCTCCTTAATTACTGACTTAGTGTCCAAGACATCGAAGCTTTTTTGGAGAAAAGCGAGCAGATTTTCATTAGATTCAAAAATCGGGCGACCCTTCGACAATTCTGTTGCCCTGCTTTGCCATACCACAGCATCCTGCCCACAGAGTGACCTGCCAATCGCATTTAGCACCATTGGAGAACCACTGCAGCCTTGGACTATCTGCAATTTAAGAAAGAGCAAAATAAAGCTGCAAGTGGCACTTCTTTTTTATTTGAACTCGGCATGAGAAGTACTAGTGGCAGAAAGCAACATAAAGTACCTCTCTCACAATATGATCAGGAACATCAAAACGGCTCTCCTTCAGTTCTGCGGAGTGGCGGAAAAGCTTCACAGCATCCTCATTACCAAGGGGTCTCAAGCAATAGGGGGTGCCGAATCTTCGAATTGCGAATCTGGAAGTCACTAAAATCTTATATTCCGGCAGCTGCATGCGAAAATTATCAACAAGAGATTCCGATCTATCCCAAACATCGTCCAGAACCAACAGTGTAGGATTTTCCCCAATTTGCTTTAGCAAAAGTTTCAATAGGTCAATCGCTTCTTCATCATTTTGAGGCTCGGACACTGAGCGACCATTGTGTTGATAAAGTTTCTGTACGATAGCGTTCAAATTTGGCGTCTCCGAGAATTTGACAAAGAAGATATTGTCCTTGAATTTACCTGGCCAAGCCTTCCACATTTAGAATCCAAACTTAATAGACTCTAATTTCTGAATCATAGCATGTGAAGTAGTGCCATAGATTTTTTTTTTTTTCGTTTAAAAAGTTGTTTCTTTTAAGTGTCCACCACTACCGTTAATTTAAAATGAACGTTTTCATTAGTCTGTTTAGAAGTCCCTGCATAAGTGAAGGACGAGAAGCGAATGGAAATGCAGAAAGAGAAAGAAGGAATGGAAATGGGACTCCATTCATACCTCTGACATTAGCATCCCAACAGAACTTTTTGGCCAATGTGGTCTTCCCAGAACCGGGCGAGCCGGTGACCACGATCGCTGACACGTCATCCTGGAGTAGCCGCACCTTCAATTCCCCAACATGAACATCCAATCCAACTGTGAATGTTGGGGGCTCGGGAGCCGAGCACAGGCCCCTTTCATTTCTCGCAACCGCATTCAGTTTCTTAATCTCCATATGAATGCCTCTCACCTCTACCAGCGTCTCCTTCACATCCCTCGCCGTCTGAACTGGCATATCAACTTGAAAGAACCTGACAAGTGACTGATCCAAATCTTCAAGTTGCTCCTGGTATTGGGGCCTATAGCAGCACTCCCACCACTGGATTTTTGAGCACTTGAGAACAAGCTTTTCCCCATTCTTCACATCTTCAATTAACTTCTTTGTTTCATCCTCTGACCGATCTAGTTGCCTGTTGTATTGTTTTGTCTCTTCGATCACTGGTTTTATTGACCTGAGGGTGGTGGCCATGCGTTCAAGGGTGGGTCTGAACTGAATTGCCCTGTCCTTCGCCTCCAAAACCTTGCTCAGCAGTTCGTCGAGTAGAAATTCTATGACCGTTTCTGCCATGAGTTCACCCGATTCGCAAAATCACAGCCGGTGTAAAATCTTCTCTTTGCCTAGGAAATATTATAGAGAAATTCCCGACAGAAAGCGGAGCTCAGTGCGCGGGCAAAAGAAAACGATAGATTACGTGAAGCTCAATTCAAACAAAAAACCCAAACCAAACTGACACGCAATAATCTAGAATAGAGCTCCGCTTGGGATTGAGATTTTAATCCTAGAATTGCCAATTTTGCATGGGATTATATATAAGTTAACTGATTGGCGGTAGCTTCTATGATCCTTCTTGGCACCTTAGGATAGAGGAGTTGATTGCTCGAGCCGACATTTCTCCATTGGAAGTCGTCTTCACAATGACAAGCACAAAAACACGAGTAAACATTGATCGCGCCGGCCCCAACTTGGGTGCACACTAATTTTCTTAGAATACATTCTAAAGTATAGGGAAGAATAATCCCATTGCGTAATATTTTAGAATGCAGCCAAGTGTTGTTAAAGATTCTTCCAATTGACTGCAGCCAACCTCAATCTAATTTCGACTTTTACTTGAGTCCAAATAAATAATCCTTAAATTATTGCTTCTCTTGCAATTTTCTCATAGATGTAGCCTAAAAAAATCTCTATGATGAAGTTGATGTCGTTTAATCGTATAGATTGAAAGCTAGTTTTTCAATAGTAATTTGCCTGATAAGAGTTTTGTACCTTGCTTTTAGGTGTTAGTAAAAGCTACCCCAAAAAGGCTCTAAAACGTTCCACGATTTTAGACACACTGTTATGTCGTTAGCTTAACACAACGTTAGTACTATACGTCTAAGTCAATGTCAGCGGGGGAAGAATCCTTAATCGTAAGCTAAACCCATCATTCGGAGAAAGGAAAAGGAGAGAGATAGAGAGAGAAGAGAGAAGAGTCAAAGCTATCACCATTCCCAAATGGAACTCGTCAAAGATTCACCCGTCACTATCTGTTTGACACATAGGGTGATATTTACATTACATTTTCAACTCGTGGATTATATGCAATATTGCAACATTGCAGCAAAGGCAAGTTACTCCACTTTCTTTTCATTCGCTCTCTTCATCTCATTCTCGTTGATTACTCTGCTTTTGATCTTCTGAATGGCCCTCTCATCAAATGTCTCATACGCCCTCTTGCATTTCACTCTCGACCACTCCAACGAACTCTTAATCCTATTCTGGTTCTTGTTATAAATTACAGGAACTGTCGTGCTCGTCAGTGTACCTATTTAATTAACAGTCAAATCGGACATTGAAAATCGTTATCCAAGAGAAAGATCAGTAACATAAATATTCTAGAAATGATGATGACGTACCTATATAAAGCAATGTTAACAGATCCATTTTGCTCCCAACGTAAGAAAGTAACAACAATCCCGCAACGGCTCCTAAAAAACAGGGACCAGTCTTCTTGTGCGCTCACCCGAAAAGAAACCTTATTCCTTCTTCGATCCATGCTCGAACCACGTACGCCATTTGCAGAGCTGATTCTTCAGTCAACTCCAAATCCGACACGTTCGGGGGGCCCTGTATTCAACATAATTGATTGACCCAATTGGGGGGAAAAAACAAAGAAGTCATTGTCCTCAGTATGTAGAAATTTGTACAGGAAAAGGGAGGCACTTACTTGCCAAAAAGCCTAATCATATTGGCCCAGAGGAAGGCAGAAGCAAGAAGAAGAAGCATGACCAGCCACGAGAAAACAGCGACGAAATGGAATTGATACACTTGCAACAACGTCCACGTTGCTGTTGCCCCGATGAGAATTGTTGCAGTTAGCGACTTTCTTCTCCACAGAGCTACGTCCTTCACTACAGGCCACACAAAGCCAAGTTCAATGTGAAAACACATCATCTGGGTGAAATTATAAACAAATAAAGAATGCTTTTGGTATGTCTAAAAGAGCAGAGTCGAACTACCCGAGGAAGGAGAAGATGAAGGAGAAGGAGCTAGAGAGTGTGTTTGGGCCGACATGATGAAGAAGACGAGGTGAATCGATGATGTTGCTGTCGAGGTGGAGATGCTTGCCTTGTTCGGTTTCATCCTGTATACTAGTATTATATAGTTTCAAATATGGGTCATTCGGCGGAGGTGGTCACCAAGACGGTCGTTGAGTTTAGAGCCGACACGTGCAGCGATCCAAGGTGACGTGTGAAACCTTGCAGGAGTCGTGGCATTTGCACGTAAAGTTTGTTCCATCTCATGATTTCAAAAGGTCATAAAAGGAATTGAATTTAATGACCAGTTTTCGGGCATGGGATTCACCTATTGGATCCAAAGTAGCGAACTGCGCTGGTTCTTCAATTGGGCTCCCAATAAGACTTGATATCTCACTTAACGTTTCTCTCTGTTTAAAACTTTGACAGCCCAGCTCCACAAGTTTAAATGGCGGCCCCCCATGACAACTCGCCACACTCCTATTTATTTGAATTTTTTGTTGCAAAAAGATTTCTAATCATTCTACTTGGATTGATCATTTACTTAAAGCTAAAGGCGGTTAAGGAAAAAAAACACGAGCTTAGGCTTTCGAGGGGTCGAATGAGGTAAAAGGTTGAGTGTTTTCAGAATGAATCCAAACACAACATGGACTTTTCTTGTGAAATTTCATGGTGGACAATGATGTAATTCTCTCCAGCTTGGATGGAATAAGTTCGATGAAGATACTGAAGAGTTTGTAACATTTTGAGTTTCAACTTTCCTCCTATTACCGTATATGATAAAGGGGCAAATTTGCAGTTTGTTCAAAAGATAACACATTAAACAGTTCATGGTCAAAATAGAAATTTAAGACTGCAGCTGGATGATGCATCAATAAAATTTTTCTTGTTGTAGGCTTTGCAGCAGAAAGTCTTGGAGTAGGAATTCGAGTAAGCCAATTGATTTCGCTTCATTAATCAGACATTCGTTTTTTCTTCTGATTTTTCTCATTTTTTGATGGCTTTGGAGTAATCAGCTTTGAATTATGGGAACATCATTCACATCAACATAAAATTGCAGATGGCACAGTTGCCCAAAGTTGAGTCTCAGAATACTCAGACGCTCCTGGGCCTCTTCATCCTCCAAACACGCCAAGTACTTGTCAATGTTAATGATGTCATATCAAATCCAAATATAATTACTCATCCAATCCTTAATATATAACCTAATCATTAAGTTAATTTTCGTAATAAATATCATACCTATTTTTCATATTTATCAATTTCTTCTAAATTATCCTTGTGGATACTCCCTCAATCATAATCAAGTAAGTGAGCTGGGAAAAATATTAAGAAGGATGATTATGTGTTTTAGAAAAAAAAAAGTCATATTTCTTGTAATTAACTAACTTACCTAATTTCTTTTATCTAATCAAATTAGTTAAATAGATATTATATTAAGGACTAGAGGAGTACATTATAATCATGATAAAATTGATAAATCCTGAGGAAATTAAAAACAGTAAAAAAAATATGGCATTAATTTCATCTCAATTCTCAGATACAGAAGCAATCAACGTCATATTTAATTATGATTCAGAGGACAACTAAAAGTAGTTAAATTTGGATGCAAAAGCTTGGCAAAAAGATAATCATCATAGATAATTAATATTCCTTCAGTTCTTAATGTAAGACCTAATTAACTAGTTTGAGTAAATTAAATATGTTAGTTAAATTAGTTAATATGATATGGTATATTCTTTCTAAAACACCTTAAGCATTTTCTTAGTTACTTCCCTTCTTCCCCTACTTTATTATTATTGGGAGAATATCAATAAGGTAAATTTTGGGGAAAAAAATTAATAAACATGTAAACTAAGTCTTATATATAAAATCAACATCAACTCTCTAATTAAGTTCTATATTAAGAACAGAGGGGTGAAAATCTATGACTTAGTTGAGCCAAAGCATAAAACAGCAGGAGCATATCAAGTTGAATTTAAACATCTTGCTTCAATTCGCGGATACCAACTGAATGCTCTTCTCCTTTTCCCTAGTATGCTCTTTCCATTCTTCCATAATAATGTGTGGCAAAAGAAAAACATTGCAATTCACAGACAATGGTATTATCCTTGCACGTACAGATGGAAGTGGGACTTTGTACACACAACACAGTGATTTCACATGCTTTGACCGAAATTGACGCCAATTATGTAAAGATGCATGCAAGGCAGATTTTTCACTCACCAAACTTCATCTTTATTTTTTCGGCCTGATGTACAGATCACCGGAACCGTCTTTGTTTGTGGGCCTTCCTTCTTTTTTTCTTTTTTTTTTTTTCATTTCTTTCTTTCCGTTTCACTGGTCAAGTTTAAATAAAGTTTGTCGTGGCCATCATCTGCAACTCCCATGAGTGCCCATAATTTGGCGCCCCACATCCGTCTCTTTCCTTTTTCTTAATAGCAGTTAATTAATGTCAATCATTTTACCTTCCTCGCGCGCAAACAACATACAGACACAGCATTCACACTTCCCAGTATAGGCTTTAAAACAATCAGATACCTCCGCTGCATCTGTATTGAAGGTAATGCCTTGGATTCATGATTTCCATTTTGTTAATAGATAATTTCTTAAGCATTCCAACATATCGATGAATAACTTTATTTGATGTTGTTTAATCTTTTATTTCAAAAAAAAAATCTTTATTCCTTAAAGATTTCTACAGCCGCTAGTTGACTTGAACACTGTACCAATATTTCTTTTTCCTCATTTATGTTGTGCTTGACCTAGCCCTTAACGATCAAATGCACTAGACGATGCCAAGAAAATCCGCGATTCCCTTTTCTGGGAACGTTATTTGCTTATATGTTGATCTTGATGACAGAATGAGAGGACTACATAACCCAGAAATGAAAATGGGGTCTCTCATATTTACCATCCTAGTTCTCCTCCAATCTGAATATTTACTGATGAATATATATATATATTACTCCTCGGTCCTAATATAGACCCAATGATTTATGAGGAGATTAAGGAAGTAAGTTAATTTGGTTATTATAATAATAAGTGTGTCATTCCTAAAATATCTTTGCTAATAAGTATATTGGCTAAAACTATATTAGAAGGATATCTTGGAAAAATGCATAAATATAAGAGACAAAATGGATGAGGTCTTAATTAGGACCAAATAAAAAGTTAAACGGGGTCTTATATAATGACCGGAGGAGTATTAGAGGAAAGAACACTGAAACGAAACTGGTGAATGGTATGGATTAATATTAACAACCAGCGGAATCAGAAAAGTTGACGAAGAAGAGAGAAAGGGGAGATGAGTGGCGTGATTTCAGGGGGTTATAGTCAAAATGATGGGCTAAAGCCATAGCTTTCACTTTAATGATAATTCATGAGTGAATTGTTCGTCACTTTAGTTGGAAGCAAATAACCATTTGAAAACGCGTCACCCCCTGGCCCCTGCCCAATCCCATCAATTTTGCTACCTTAAAAACTAACAAACCTCAATAAACTATTTTTCTTATCACTCCAATCACACCTTCCTGTGAGGTTGTTATATACCGCTCCCAGCTCCTGCGGCCAGTCACTCTCCAAGACAAGGGAAATCTAATACTTTGATTTCGTTTCCAATTTAGAAAGTGGATTGGGATGCTTTACTCCTAATTGCTCTTCTCAGTGAGGTTTGAGTGGACTCTGGTTTTCCGATATATACAATGGGAAGAACAAGCTTGCTCCCTCTGGTGTCTTCTGTTCTGGCCTTGCTGAGTGTGTGTCTGGTGAAAGCAGAAGACGCATATAAGTACTATACATGGGACTGTCACTTATGGGACTCGTTCTCCTCTTGGCATTCCCCAGCAAGTGGGTCATATATCTACATTCTTGCTTCTCATAACTTTTCATTTGCCTAGCAAGCGATTAATCTATATGCATTTCTGATATTTCGGTCTTTAACTGCTTTGGTTTTAAGGTAATCCTCATCAACGGTCAGTTTCCTGGGCCTAGGCTTGATGTAGTGACTAATGACAATATAATTCTCAACCTTGTGAACAAGCTGGACGAACCGTTTCTTCTGACTTGGTGAGTTTCTCTGTATCTCTCTGCCCTGTTTTCCATGTATCGTGTGGCATTTGAATGGAGGACATGTTTTGACGACGTTTTGATGAAACAGGAACGGTATTAAACAAAGGAAAAATTCATGGCAAGACGGAGTACTGGGAACGAACTGTCCCATTCCTCCAAACTCAAATTACACATATAAGTTTCAGGTCAAGGATCAAATTGGAGCCTACTCATACTTCCCATCAACTCAACTCCACAAAGCATCGGGAGGCTTCGGTGGACTCAATGTCTATCACAGATCCGTCATCCCAATCCCTTATCCAAACCCTGATGACGATTTTACTTTGCTCATCGGCGACTGGTACAACTCCGACCACAAGGTAAGATAGGTTATTATATTTTTAAAAACATTTCACAAGCTTTTATGCCTGTGAAATCTTGTCACTTCATCCAGCTAAACCCCTACTTCCTCTCTTTCTCAAATCTGTAGAAATTAAGGCAAAGTTTGGATTCAGGAAGATCTCTTGCCTTTCCAGATGGCCTCCTTATCAATGGTCAGGCCCATACTACCTTCAACGGTGACCAAGGTCAGATCGTGTTTTGCCATTTTTCAAGAAATTCGCTTTTTGTTTCCATTTCTATTTTGTTCCCCGTCAAAGCTGCATTTACCGATAAAGTTTATTCTTGCTTCAGGAAAAACATACATGTTCAGGATCTCAAATGTGGGCTTGTCAACCTCGATTAACTTCAGGATACAGGGTCATAACCTCAAATTAGTGGAGGTCGAGGGATCACATACCATCCAAAACCTTTACGACTCTCTTGATGTGCATGTGGGCCAATCCGTCACCGTTTTAGTAACCTTAAATCAGCCTCCAAAAGACTACTACATTGTTGCCTCCACCAGATTTACCAGGAAAGTTCTCGCAGCAACAGCAGTTTTACACTACACGAACTCCCGTTCCCCAGCTTCTGGACCTTTGCCCGCTGCTCCTGCCTACCAATATCACTGGTCTATGAAACAAGCTAGAACCTTCAGGTTGTTATTCAGAATATATATAGCCTTGGATTTGGAGATATGTATGCTTTCAAAGTTCCCATAGATTTTGACTTTTGTGTCTGTATATGCGCAGATGGAATTTGACAGCGAACGCCGCTAGGCCTAACCCACAGGATCATTCCATTATGGGAAGATAACTCCGACAAAGACATTAGTGTTGGTCAATTCTGAAGCTCTGATTAATGGGAAACTGCGTTACGCTGTGAACAAGGTGTCCTATGTTAACCCTGATACTCCTCTCAAGCTTGCTGATTTCTACAACATCCCAGGAATCTACAGCGTGGATTCAATCCAAAGCGTCCCCAGTAATAATAACGGCGCAGCAACCATAGCCACCTCTGTAATCCCATCTTCTCTGCATGACTTCATCGAGGTTGTTTTCCAGAACGACGAAAACGCCATGCAGTCTTGGCATCTGGATGGATATGACTTTTGGGTCGTCGGGTACGTCAGCTTTGGCAGTTGGGTCTGTATTTGCTTTGAATTATATGACCTCAAGAGAACAGATGATTAAATTGTTGAATGCAACAAACGCAGGTACGGCAAGGGGCAGTGGACGCCAGCCAAGAGAAGTACCTATAATCTAGTGGATGCCTTGACCAGGCACACAGCACAGGTACGCAATTAGGTCCTAAAGAATTAATATACAAGTTTAGATGAGTGGAATACGAATGTTGATGTAAGAGAGAATGCGGTGGTGGACATGTACGTAGGTGTATCCGAAGTCATGGACAAGCATATTGGTGTCGTTGGACAACCAAGGAATGTGGAACATGAGGTCAGCGATGTGGGGAAGACAGTACCTGGGACACAGTTGTATTTGAGGGTGTGGAGTGCTCAACGCAGTTTTACCAGTGAGTATGATATCCCCAGCAACGTCCTGCTTTGCGGCAAAGCCCTTGGCCATCGTCCTTAATTCTACTCATGACAGTTTGACTAGGAAATCCAAAAGGGAATTTCAATTAAATCTCTCTTGATATATGATTATAATTATATACAAGTATGATATAACGATCTTTGTTTCTCCTGCTGAATCTTGTTTTTTTTTTTTGGTACAATCTTGGGTTCTGTTATCAATGGCTTCCAAGATTCCCATGATCTGTTATGCATTGGGTCAAGATCGTTATTGCTTTTGGGCCACAGGCATCCTGTCGGTATTTGGGTTACAGTCATTTCGTTGGGCTAGAAACAATTGAACTTGGAAAAAAAAAACAAAAAATAGGACGAGAACCTTTGACGTGTTTTGTACGAATAAGGGAATACACACGCACATATGAGAACTCTAACAAATGTCGCTCCACTCCATTGTGGACGAAGATTTGTGATTGCATGTGCGATTCTATTTGGAAGAAAGGAGTGCAGGAAGTGGGCCACGTGACAAAATTTAATGCAAATACCTTTTAGGAGTTCCCAATGAAACACAACCATGTGTGATCCCCCTTGTTGATCTGTTTCTATTTCCAGAATGGAGTTCTTGGGATCTATCTCATTCACTTCCGAATCCTGTCTATCTAGGCTACCATCCACTGAATCCACAGTTGGCTTATGCAACAATCATTCTTTAAAATATTGTTTTTTTCCTTTATTGTTCTCCATCTGGGATTCCCCCCCCCCCCCAACCTCCGTGTGGCATTGCATGCACCCGTTCGAAATTTCTTTACTTTCTCGTCCTTTATTGGCCTTCACTATTTCCAGGCCTCTGTCTGTTTGTAAATTAAATTTATTTATAAAAAGAACGAAAAGTTGACGACATAAAAAAAATTATAAGAATTAATCAGCTTGATTTTTACAAAATTTTCATTTAAAAAACAAAAATCTTTAAGAAAAATGAAAAAGCCGCCCTCAGATATTATTTATACATTCAGTGGGGAGGAGAAGAAGAAGAAAGCAATAGTCTATTAGTGGTCAATGCTATCTCTCTATTTCATTAAAAAGCACTAAAAATTTTAATACACGGTACTATATAAATTAGACGTAATGAAGGAGGGAATCGATCGTTATGCCTACAAGATCAATCTGATCATTGGATCATATATATGGGGAAAAGCTATCAGTTTGATTGAGAAACAATTTCGGATCTGTCTGAAAAGATGTTAATGGACATAAAACTAGATCGTCAAATTCACAGCAAAAAATAATAACAACGAGATCGATCCGCTCTCAGCTCCGGCACAACCGCCCTCTTAGATCCCCACCTCGTGCCACCTGCCAAGAATTTCAGCTGAGTCCAAATCCCCAAACTCGTTGCTCCTGATTTGAGTGCTTTCGTTGAAGGCAAAGTAGCAGTATTCAGTTTTGCTTCTTTTTTTAGTATTTCAAGGTATAAGAATTTGAATTTTTTTAAATGAATTATTGAGATCATAAATGGGGAAGAAGCATTCGTAGCTTCCCTATCCGCAGCTTCATATGGGTTCACATTCTCACGAACAAACTACTGAGTAATCATTCTCTTATTAAATTGCGACGCAGTCATATTTAAATGGAACTCTGAATATATAACCAGGTTGCTGGCTTGACGAATAAGGTTTCTTGGGACGAGCAGAACGTGCTAATTAATTAGAGTTATACTTTATAAAGCAAACGATTGAGCTAAGCTTGAGCTGAGTTCTAGCCCGCGGTCCGCGTACTTTGCTCTCTCTCTCTCTCTCTCTCTCTCTCTCTCTCTCTCTATATATATATATAGGCCCTCGTAAATCTGGGACCTAGTCAGCTCTCTCCCCTTGAGTTTCTGGTTCGTGCATTTCTTTCCTTTTTCTTTCATTTCTTTAATTTGCTACGCATATTGGTTTTGAAAATATGCATTCCTGTCTCAGTTAAGGTAGCTTTTTGGGTTAAAGAAAGAACAAGATTTCATGAATTCTTGATCTCTTTCTCCTTTCTGCGCTCTTCTCGGTTTATTAAAATTGATAACTCCAATTTATCACATGATAAGTTTTACCCATCCAGCACAGTCTGACTTTGACTTCACTAACTTCACTAACACAGACGCACGAATGTAAGATATTCGTCCCAAGTTTTCCGAATACCTTGTTGAAACGTCTCTTCGTTATCGATGTACGTCATTGAGCATATCTATCAAAGATCTTCCTCCAAAGGTTACTGAATGTATTGTTGAAAAGTCTCTTGGTTCTTTGGCAACCGGACGGACAGAAGTAGCACAAAAGAAGATGAAGCAAGCCACACTGATGCATATTATTCTTGGAATTTTGGCTTGCTTGGGGTGCTGCGTTGGTGAATGCGGAAGATCCATATAGGTATTTTACGTGGGAAGTGAGATATGGAACAATAAGACCCCTTGGTTTTCCTCAACAGGTTGGTCAAATCTTTAACCCTTGTCTTTATTTCGTACCTGCAGAATGGTCTGATAAATCATCTCTATTTATATGCCTTGTCAGGGTGTTCTTATCAATGGCCAATTTCCAGGTCCAACCGTAGATGCTGTCACTAATGACAATATCCTTGTAAATGTCATTAACAAGCTAGATGAACCTTCCTTATCACATGGTGATCAGCGGTTCTTTTCCATATGTATAGTTTAGGTTTCTCTCACCGTAAATTAAACTAGGATTTCGGGTGATATCGTTATGTAACAAGTATTATCTGTGGACTGTGGTGTAAAACAGGAATGGCATCAAACAGAGAAGAACTTCATGGCAAGATGGAGCTATGGGAACCAACTGCCCAATCCCTCCAAACTCAAATTGGACATACAAGTTCCAACTCAAGGATCAAATTGGAACCTACAATTATTTCCCATCTACCAAACTTCACAGAGTTGCTGGCGGTTTTGGTGCTTTCAATATTGACCAAAGGTCTGTGATATCCAAGCCGTATCCTGAACCCGCAGCAGATTTCACCTTGCTCGTTCATGATTGGTTCAAGACCGACCACAAGGTATTCCTTGTCATTCCCATCAATAAAATATTAGGCAACCGCTGTGATGGAATTAACCCAAGTAAAACCATCTGAATTGCAGTCACTGAGGCGACAACTGGACGCTAACAAACCTCTTCCTTTTCCCGATGCTCTTCTCATAAATGGCCAAAAGAATTCAGCCGTATTTACCGGTGAAAATGGTAACCATCCCCATTATTCCTTACATTCAAGAAACCACAAGTTCAAGATTAAATCCGAGGTTGAGAATAAAATATATTCGATCAGGGAAAACTTACAAGATCAGAGTGTCCAACGTGGGAATAGCAACCTCAATTAACTTGAGGATTCAGGGGCATAAGATGAAGCTCATCGAAGTTGAAGGAGCTCACACACTGCAGGAAGTTACGAATCACTGGATGTTCATGTGGGCCAGTCACTAGCAGTCTTGGTTACACTTGATGGGCCACCTCAGGATTACTACATCGTCGCATCAAGTCGTTTCACTAAGACAATGCTCACCGCCATAGCCACTCTTCGTTACGTGGGATCTAACAAAAAGGCCCCTGGATCTCTACCCCCTGGCCCTACTTACCAACTTCATTGGTCCCTGAGCAAGCAAGCCAGGACCATCAGGTAGGAGAACCCTTCTCTTTTTAACATTAAAAACAAAAAAAAACAAAAAAGATGAGGACTCCGCTACAGTCGATCATGTTTTTATTAGTGACTCTGTTTTTTTTTTTTTTTGGCTTGGGGAAAGGTTGAATTTAACAGCAAATGCAGCCAGGCCGAATCCTCAGGGGTCATTCCACTACGGAACTATACCAGCAGTGAGGACAATCGTGTTAGAGAATTCTAAGGCCATTATAAATGGAAAATTGAGATAT